GAGAAAGTTCTGCCTGGGAAATATCCTCAGCATTAAACTGGGCAAAGCAGATCCAGAGTGATAGCTGGACTGCACCTTTCAGAGACAGAAGTAACAATTATTGTCATTGGCCTCCAGGGGACCAATATATTTGTACAATCCTTCTGCAAGTACTTTCACTACTCAATGACCTCACATTCAGGTGTTTCAAGTCCCAGCAATTCCTAACTCTGAGAACAGAACTTGCCCATGGTGTCCCAGGAAAAAGTTTCCAGCTGTTCCTCAGAGGCTCTTTCGCATTTCATAGAATGGTTTGGGTTGTAAGGGACCTCAGAGATCATCTAGTTCCAACCCCTCTGCCACAGGCAGGGTTGCCATTCACTAGATCAGATTGATCAGGGCCCCATCCAGCTGGCCTTTCTTAACTGGCTGGAATGAAAAGCTCCATATGAAAGTCTGTATTTCCCCCCAAAGTGGAAGTATCATGTCCAAAAAATGCACCAAACTAGCTTGCCAGCTGTTTTCATATTTGAGGAATCTGAAGCGCAGAATTGAACCTACCTTTGTTCCCCTCTTAATGTATTTCTTTGCAAAGGCAGTATAATTCCACATTTGTATTTTCATTCCAAAGCAAATGCTTCACTGCGTTTTTTATTAAAATGAAATCTGGTGTGTGCAGCCTGGTGTTAAATGAGAGACTATTAAAGCCAATCAGTGGAGAACTCATTAGTAACCCTACAACAACAAACTAGTAGTTATGGCCTAGCATTCACAAACAGCCATGACAACCAGTAGGAAGAACGCAGGTCTTGTTGAAGGCTATAATAGAAGCATAGCTTGTGTAGTCCAATGACTGAATATCCATGCAAAATGGCTGTGCTTCTACTCCTCAAATGACATGTGCCAGAAAACATTCGTTTATCATGACTCATCCCTGAATACCTCTCTCAAGAATGCTCCCATCATTTAGTTATTTCTTCCCATTTCTAAAATATAATGAGAAGCACCCATCCTGAGCTCAAGGAAATCTGTCCCCTCAATTAAAATAACAAAATAAGCAGAAGGCTGCCTCTGAATACATCCACCTCTGCCCACTCACTCCTTAGCAGCCATGCTGAAGAGAGAGTAGATGAGTTTTGCAGAATGCCTAGAAGGTTAGTAACTCCACTTGGAAGGGCCAAGAGGGAAGAACTCCAAATCTGAGCATTTCTCCAGAGGAAAATCATGTTAGAAACTCCTCCTCAATCTCTGAAATCTCCTCATGTGGCAGAAGAGAGCAGGGAGCACAGTGATTTGCTGAATGCTCAGGAGAAGACCGGTTATCAAGATAACTACAAACTCAGTAGACTGGAACTTTCAAACCAGATAGCTTTCTGGGACAATGCAGGAATAAACAAACAGATACTTATTAAAAAAACACCAAAGAATTAAAGAGTGTAATTGAACTGGAAAACAGTATTTGAATAGTTGAATTCTGTGTGATCACCTAAGCCTATTAACAGCATAAATTGAAATAAATCCCTCACTGGAGGAAAACTTTCTCAAGAATCCTTCAAATCTTTCAGAAAGAAAAATAACAATTATTGTAGAACTAACTTTCATAATGGTATCACGCTTCTACTAGTTTGCGGGCTCATTTTCTAGGACAAAATCTGCGAATTCACACTTCTGCAGTTCTAATCCAACACAAAGGAGTACCAGTTTCAAGACTGACAAGCAACAGTTGCTATGAGACCATTATTAACATGAAGAGATGCACACCAAACACCTACATTGGTGAGAAATGGCATTTAAATAACAGTCCATCCTGATTCTCTTTATGCCTGTAGCTATACTTCAAGCAAAGCTTTCTTAGTGCAAGCACTTACAAAAGCAAAAAAAAAAAAAAAGCCCATGAATTAGCAGATAAAAGTATGGAGAAATATCAATGGAGTGGGACCATTTGATTTTAGCTGCATCCAAAACTACTGCAAAAGGGAAAGGGGAAGAGCAAGGGATTCAAAAGCAGAAATAGGGAAATGACAAATTCACAGTTTTAGAATATGAAGTGCCTTAGCTGAACTAAAATTCACATGTTTTTTAGTTATACGTGTCACTTTCCAAATAATAAAATGGGTAGATTCTTTTACTGCCTTCCAGCAATGGATTTGAAGCACATCAGACCACCTTGGATTAGCTTCAGGAGTTTCTGAAACCCCAGCTATGTGGTGATGTATTATCTGAGGTCACACACACACTTTGCAGTCTCCCCAGACATCAAACCCACGTACATACATTTCTCTATTCTGTGTAGGCATGTGGAGGGGGAACTGTAAGCTGCAGATGGCTGAATATAGTATTGCCAGGTCCAGGGCATGTCTAAAATTAGTTTTCCAGAACCTTCAGTCCAGCCCAAAGCATACCAGGAGAGGTTTAAAGCTTAGCACATAGTAAACTCCAGTGAGTTCAACAAGACTTGAAGGTATGAACACAGATCATAACCATTAACCTCTGCAGGTAGCGAGGTGAACTCATATCTTCATCTTTGCTTTCTTCCCACTTCCCTCTCTTCTGCTTCTTCCTGTCCAGATCCCAGGCTGTAAGGCTGAGCTTGAAGCTAATCACATCTCTATTAGAACTTCGGATTTGCAAAGGTAAATGCTGACTTTGGACACCACTAGTTTTAACACGCCAAAAGGTGTCTGAAAGTAATTGCATTTAAAAAGAAGCCCAAGCACGTAACTCACTGGAATTCATGCTGTTCAACCATCTCTCTCAAAAGTACAGATGGGGTACAAATGTTTGCAAGAGGAAGAACTCCCATACTAGCAGATCACAGGTCAGTGTCGTGCAAGGCAAAGCGATTATTTACACTGCGGCTGCAGAAGCAACTTCCACAGAGTGTAGTGATTTCTGAGCTAGTTCAGATGCCCGCAGCAATCTAAGCAGAGGCAGAATGGAGCTTGGCATGGACTAATTGACTCAGTTTTTCAGAGAGACTGATGTTGGCGTCCAAACTAAGTTGGGTACATCCACATGTACCTGCAGTCATTCCCATGAATGTTATACTCAAAGTAGACAAGGGAGAAGAAACAACATTATTTGGGCCACAAAGGTGAGAAGAAATATAATACTTTCCAAGCTGACAAGAGCTGCTTTAGTGTGGGATGCCCAGACTCCAGGGCATATCTACACTGCACAACAGTGCTGTCATATTTAGAGATTAGAGCATTTCTGAGCTGGTGCCTCCTATCCAATGCCAAGAAGAGCTTTGCAGAGATCTGCTGGGTCATACGTAACACAGCTATATGGGTATGATTTTATGCATCAGCTAATTAGCAGAAGGTCTCTGCAGAACACAGCATCTCACAGCAGGAGACAACATTTTGTTTTCTAAAGAAATGCTGAAAAGTCACAGCATAGCTCTCCCCTTCAGAATCTCTACTCGCTTAGAAAAGTAAAAAGCAACCTGCCTTTATGTGACTTCTGATAACTTCATACGTATTAAGTATATTTTTCCTGTTTAATCATTCCGGTGATGACTCAACAGAAAACAGCAGAAAACACCCTTTTCCATTAAGCCTGGCTGGGAAGGAAACTGATAAACGCATTGGGCATTTTTGGTGATTCAAGGGCTTGCAGACAATAAAAAGCCAGTGTAGGGAAGAGGAAAACATGATAGTGACACCTGCTAATATGTCAATGGATCACAGAGACAAAGAAAGAACAGAAAGAGTCATGGGCAACCTAACAGATCAAATAAGAGACTTATTTCAGCCCCCAGCTTTCAGACAATGCAAAACTGCATTCTGCCTTTCCATCCACCTGTCCCTCTATCTTCCTTGCACAGTTTGTAGCGAGAGGTCACAGCACACAAGACAATCCATCACATTTACAGTATTCTATGATTCATCATGACAAATGAACAAAGATGCTGGGCTCTCTGCAACCACCTCTCATGACAACTACTACCTGGATTCTCCATCTCATACTGCAAAGGAATCAACCTGCCCAAGGATATTATATGAAAAACACTGGAGAATGACAGCTGAGCAGGTCAGAGGGCACATGGTTAATTGCAGATACTGCAATTCCCAGCTCTTCCCATGTCTAATGATCTGGGCTACTTAGCTACACCCTAAAATTCTAGCTGGGACAATAAAGGGAGATCTAGTAATCAGAGTACTGCTCTAGAACTTGTTCTACCACAGTCTTCCTCTATGACCTTTAACAGGCATCTTAGCACTGTTTCTTTAGAACATCTGAAACTGGATCAGAAAAAGATACTTATTCAAATAGTTTTTCCATAGGTTATATATATATATATATATATGTATATATATGTGTGTGTAAACACACACAAATATTTTTATTTAATATTCTTCGCATATAGAAAAACTCCCACTCCTGATGGAGATGCTTAGGCTCTCTATTCAGTGTGCTCAAGAGAGAATGAGATCTGAAACAGTCAGCAGACAGTCACCAATGAGATGCCAATGAGCAGGATGATAACAGAAGTCCCTTTTCTTTGAAGTAAACCAGATACCAGGTGCCATGGAAGTTTCCCCATGTAGTGGATGGTTGGGTTACATAACCATCTACAAAGGAACACCCATTTATGAATTGCTAGTTCCTGGAACAGAACCTGGGCCCTTCTAGATTTAAATACAAAAATCCCCACTACTTGCAAAAAGAACCCACGTGCCACTTACAGACCCATTCATGTACAGACTCTCCAAGGAGTTCAACACTGTAATAAGAGTAAATCTGTTGTGCACCAAAGGGCACACTCAGATTTTTTCATCATATCTTCATTGTGCCTTTGCTTTGTGCTGGCTTCCTCCTCATACGATATGGATGTTTTCCAGAGGAGTGACAGTAGCAACATTCACAGCAACACAAGTACCACCATCAGCACAACTCCCCTTGGCCAGGGTTCCTAGCCAACACTACCCACAGCAACGCCCTACCAATATTAGTCTGGTGGTCACAGGTTCTTTGCAACCTCTTTTTTGTAAGGCTAACCCATCCCTTCTCCTTACCTGTTGAGCATGTTGGACTGGTAAATCCTTTTCTCCTGGGTGTTGTAACAGCTGCTTTTGGGCTCAGGGATGAAGCTGTGTTCAGACAGCATATCAGAAGCAGCCGTGGTGATTATGGCTATTCCGTCCCTCACTCTAGCAGGAAGACCGTAGTCCCATTCATCATATGAGACAGAGATGAGCCCGGTGGGGAACTCAGATGGCACTGTGTCTGTATCCCCTGCCACCAGGCTGGGCACGATCCACGTGTAACCATAGCCTGTCAGACCCACAGAGTTGGCCACCTCAAAAATGTAGGTGGCCTCTTCCTTGGTGCAGTAGAGGAGGATAACAGGGCTTTGGAGCTTCTTGAGCTGGTTCTGGATCTTTGAGTCTCCATCATCCAGGGACATGTCCAACAGGAGGACCTCCTCCAGTTCCCAACCCACAAAGCTGTGCTCAATGGTACTGCGGATCTTGTTCACAAAGTCCTGGTAACCAGGGAAGTAAGTAGTGACAATGGAGAAGATGTACCAGTCATATTCTTCCATGATGTTGAGCATGACTGAAGCTTGCTGTTCTATTGATGGGCCAAACTGGAAGAACATGGATGACTCATCCTAAAAGAGGAAATCAAAGAGAAAGAGAAAACAAGAATAGGTCAAAGGAAATAGACAACATTCCTAGTCAACTCACTGAGTGTGGAGGGGGAGGCATACAGTTAGAATCTTGCACTTCATGTCTTGGCCACATTTTAAGGATTTTTAACAAAGTGAAGCAAGTGGGAAGGAAGTAAAAGCCTTTTTATGACCAGCTGTCCTTAATTTATTTTTAAAGGCACATTGCTGAAATTACTTAAATGTTTCAAATGTTAGGCATGATTCGAACAGATAGAGAACAAAGTGGTGCACAAATAAGGCCAAAAAGAGAATACGTGCAAAATATTCTACGTTTGCACAAATTAACAGCTTTAATACCAGGACTATCACAACACATATGTAGGATAAAGAGGGCATGAATCAGCTTTGGGTTTTTTTGTTTGCTTTTTTTTTTGTTGTTTGTTTGTTTGTTTTTTAAGTTTGGGACAGTACTCTAGCTTAATATCCAGACTGAAATGCACCTAGATTAGGCACAATCATTGGACACAAACAAATCTGAGAACCTCTACTGCTGTTTCTTCTCAAAACAAGAAGTAGCATGAAGTACTACAACTGTGAAGACTCATTTTAGAACAACTTAGAAAATATTAAAGTTGAAAAAATATCTAAACCATCTAGGGTTTTGTTTATGTAATATTTTATAGAAGTGTTCATTCATTGCCTTCTATCATGCCAGGTTCATCTTTGTAAGAATCAGAATGTGCACGATTTTATAACTTCCAAGACTCCAAAGGCATTTTGCATGGATCATCTCTTCAGTGGCATACTGCAAGTCTTTTTCATCCTGAGTTTTCACAAGATACCACCATTTCAATATTTGAAAGATTCAGTAAAATCGAAATCCCTGCTTTGGCCCTGTTCTTGATGGAAACAAATAGAAAAAACATTTCTTAATACGCTCTCTTGCAATCTGATCGCTGTTGTTTAAAACCAACTGCAAACTCCCACTGATTTCTACAGGATAGGATTTGATCACAAACAAAAAAGGTAAAATTACTGTTGTCTTTCTGCAGAGATTCACATCACAATGAGGAAACTCTCCAAATCCAATCACCGCTTCTTTTTCCCTGCCAGAAAAGCTGAACCAGAAATCCAAAAGGAAGTAGTCAGGAGTTTTAGATTAGAGAAGCTCCTTGTGTAAATGCCCCAAAACATTACCTCAGGACATTCCCAATGTAATGCTATAACATGATGAAAAGCACAACAATAATAGTAAAGTCCTAGGCTACAGCAAGTGAGGATAAGTCCCAAATGCAGCAGCCATGAACACAGAAAACAAAGGAAGAAGTATGCTTACCCTTAGAAGACCTCAGGCAAACAAGGATCTCCAACAAGCTACCCTTGCCTCCACTGTCAACCCTTACATGAAGTCTTGGAAGGGCTGGATCATGGCTTCATGCCTTCCAGTCACTGAGGTGCATTGCATGCACCTGAGCTCCCCTGGGTTGGCCCTGCCTTCCCACCAGGTGTTCAATCAATCACTGTTTCAAGCTGTGACTTAGCATTTCCACTACACCAACTCTCTACCAAATTCACTCTCTGACAGTTTGGCAGGTAAAGCTGGTTTTCCACAATGGTGTCAGTTAATCAGGCGTCCATCCATTCATCCACCCCTTCTTTACTCATGCTTTTTCTTACCTATTGCCATTTTCTCTATCAGTAAAAATATGCTAAAGCTCAGCAACTCCAGGAGAAGAATAACTCTGATCCTCTGACCAGCCTTGATTCTTTTTCCTGAATTTCCAGTTGGTCACATCCTATATGAAGTTCTTGCTCTTAGATCCCCAAACCTTTCCTGTGAGTTCTGGTGATTAAACTCTATTCACTTCCACCGCTCACTCACTGGAAAAATAAATGTACTCAAAAAGAAAAAAGAAAAAAAAAGGCAAATTGGAAACAGGAGCAGCATCTGAGCCTCACAATCTGTGGAACACAGTTCAAGTTTTCTGATCACTGGAATTCACACACCTCCCCTCCTACAATTGTGCTCAGGAAAAAAAATTAAGAGATACATTTTATCTTTGAAGCTTACAGAGACAATCAGAAAAGACAGATGAAAGATTAAATAACTGTCACAGCACTTGCCTGATATTAAAGACAGCCTGAAGAAGCATCTTCAATACCCTTCATTGCACTGTACCTTTGCAAGCCACCTGTAGCAAACTGATTGCTACACTGTGAGTGATAACTACTTTTTTATATATTAATTCAACAAAAGCTTTTCTATTTCTATGCATAGGAATCTCTGCATTGACAGCAAAATTCCACAGTTTCTATCAGAGAGTCTAAGAGTTGAAGGACCTGACTACTGAATTATAGAAAGATTTGACACATGGGATCTAGAAGTCTGGATGCTTTCCTCAGTGATCAGGAAGGGACATGAGATGGTAAATCCAATAGTTATTTCAAGGCTGCACACTCAGGACATGCACACACACAAGTTACTAGATGTGGAAGCAAGGTGCAGGAGGTACTGCCGTCCCTGAGATTCAAAACCCCGTCAGACGCTCCAGCTAAAGCACATGCTGACAGTTCATTCCACATGAGTGCACAGCACAGTTGAAGGAAATTCTCTCTCAAAAACTCAGGCAGAAAATTCAGCACTCCTCACTAACCAGAGCATAGCAGAACATCAAATATCAATACATAAAATAGGTAGCTTTACTATAACCCAGCTTAACAGTTCACCTCTACTGAGAAATAGATACAGCCCTCCTCAAATCAAAGAGCATGAACCATTTGGCCGTGCATGTGATTACCACTATTATACAACTGCTTGCATCTTTATTACAGAAGCTGCAAGAAGATGCAACTTCTATTCAAAAGGAAAGCATTCAGGAGGTGCAAGCCAGCCCAGATTTTGGCTTGGCAAGATTTTTTTTTGCACTTAATCACACCAATGCTTGGGCTAGCCAATTGTTCTTCATTCCCTAACCAACTCAGCACTCAGAAGAAAAAAAGAAAAAAAAAGAGGGGTGATGAAGGAAGGACATACAACAGTGTGGAAGAAAGTGCTCCTTTCACAATAAATCAGGAGAAGTGCTGATGGAGCTCAGTGAGAATCTCAGTGAGTGCATTTTAGGAGGAAAAAAAAAGCAAACAAAGAAAAATGACTTCTCTCCTTATTTTTGACCACACCTAATGGAAAACCAAGGAAAAAGATAAGATACCTAAACTGACAGAGAACCACGCGGCTATCAGAACAGGAATTTGACTTCACTGTGGTAATGCAGTGAAAGATTTTAGATTAGGAGGCAGACCTACATTTTTTTTGCCTACAGGTTCATTAGTGCTTTATTAGTTTAAAATCAAAAAGGAATGTTTTGTCTCTCCAGGAATTTAAGGTTTCAGAAAGCACCACAAGCTCCTATTTTAATACTGCAGAAATTTCATACTTCACCTTCCCCTTTTTCACCTGGGAGCACCCAATATGTGATTCACCATTGCTACTAAAAGACAGATTTAAGATTGGGATAGCTTGAGTTAGAAGAGGTTGCTTATGATGTGCATCACCCAGGTGAAATGCAATCCCCTGACTACCTGAAAAAGGCTTGTTTTCATCCTACAGCCCTTCACCCAAAAACTTGGGCTCCTCATAGCAAGCTGCTTCAAAAGAAAAGTAAGATGCAGAAGAGGTGTCCCTCACCAAGTATGGGGGAAGAGAGGCTCCATTACAGGATCTCAGTGCCTCCAGAGATCCTACTACTCCCCCACTGTCACCCTGTAAGGTCAGGAAGCCGTAGTTTGCAAAGCAGAGCTGGAGGAGGAGCTGATCAATTGACACAGCACCACTCCCCAGCTTGACAGATGGCTTCCCACAGAAAATCTGCTCAAGTTTGCCGCTGCTGGGACAAGTATTGCCTCCCCCTCCAGCGTGTTTAACCCCTTAGGGGAGGAGGCTGGATTGCACTCGGTACAAAGGCACTCATCCAGAGGACTGCTCTCAGAGACAGTTCCTTTGTGGATGGAGGGGGGATTCGCAGAGATGGTGCAAGATTCAAGGAGTGACCAAGTATTACTGCCACAACTTAGAAGTTGTTGAGTGCCTTTTGTATCTCAGTGGCAGGCCCATGCAGGTGCTGCATGGGGAGCTGGGCATAGCCTGACTCTGGACCTGGACCTGTGCCCAGGTCCAGGTTGCTGGCCTCTGGATAAGATGCAGACCACTCTGAGGAGCCCTCCTGCAGCTGCACCACTTGAAACCAAACTCTGCCCTTTAGCAAACCATTTACCTTAGCTATGACAGGTCACAGAGAGGTTCCCAAATTGCTTTTCTTGCAAGTTCCTTCCTAACAGCCTCTCTGGATTCCCCAGGCATGTAAAAGCAATTACTGCCTTGCAAACATCTTTCTGTTGAGAGCAAACTCCTTCTCAGTACATAGAAAACTTCAGAACATCCTAAAGCAGAGGAAATGCAGGACCCCTAAGAAGAGCTGCAGTGGCCCACCTATAGCTTCTGACTTAGGAAGTGAGGAGACAGACGTTTTATTTCTAAGTTTCCTCCATGCAGGCGATGCAAATGTAACCTGGTTCTGTGTCATGCTGAGGTGATACAATGGCTGAGCCTTGAACAGATTTTTGGTAGCAATGGGCAAGTTGTTTAGCAAGTCTAGTGCAAGAGCCAGACCGCACAAGAGCCAGGTGTGTCAAGCTATGCACAAAGAATGTAAGGAGCATGTCAGGAACACGTGTTTGTTTTTCATATTTGAATAAATATATCTTTTTTTTCTTTCTTTCTTTCTTTCTTTTTTTTTTTCCAAAATGCCCTAGGCTGCTATCTTTGCATAGGTGCAAAAGAAATGCAATTTTTACTGCTTTGGGAGTTGCTCCCTTGTGTTAGGCTTTAAGAAACATCAGTATACCCTAATGGCAGGGGTTGGAACTAAATGATTTTTAAGGTGCCTTCCAACCCAAGCCATTATATGATTTTACGATTCTATATCTAACCCCATTTGCTGATG